ACAGGGCTACCAGACAGAAACTTAACAAGGAAACAAAGGAACTAAAAGAAGTTATGACCCAATTGGGTCTAACAGACATCTATAGAACACTGAATCCAAACACAAAAGAATATACGTTCTTCTCAGCGCCACATGGAACCTTCTCAAAAATCAACCACATACGTGGCAACATAGCAAACCTCAACAGGTACAAAAAATTGGAATAGCTCCATGTATCTTATCAGACCAACATGCTCTAAAGTTATAATTCAACAACAACACAGACCTTGAAAGAACAATTCTCAGCTTTATATGGAAAAACAAAAGACTAAGGATATCTAAGACAACCCTGTTCAACAAAGCAACTTCTAGAAGCATCACCATCCCTGACTTCAAGCTCTATTATAGAGCTATAATCCTGAAAACAGCTTATTATTGGCATAAAAAATAGACAGGTAGAACAATGGAATCTAATTGAACAGCCTGATATTAACCGACACACCTATGAATACCTGATTTTTCGACAAAGCATTTAAAAATATTACAATTGAAAAAAGATAGCATCTTCAACAAATGGTGCTGGCATAACTGGATATGGGTATGTAGAAGACTGCAGATAGATCCATGTCTATCTCCAAGCACAAAACTTAAGTCCAAATGGATCAAAGACCTCAACATAAATCCAGCCACAATGAACCTCTTAGAAGAGAAAGTAAGAGGTAACCTTGAACAAATTGGTACAGGAGACCGCTTCCTGAACATAACACCATAGCACAGACACTGAGATTGACAATTAACAAATAGGACCTCCTGAAACTGAGAAGCTTCTGTAAGGCAAAAGACACAGTCAACAAGACAAAAAGGCAGCCCACAGATTGGGAGAAGATATTCACTAACCCCACATCTGACAGAGGACTGGTCTCCAAAATTTACAAAGAACTCAAGAAACGAGTCTCCAAAACACCAAAGGATCCAATTAAAAAGTGGGCTACAGAACTAAATAGAAATTTCTCAATAGAGGAGTCTAAAATGGCTGAGAGACACTTAAGAAAGTGCTCAACATCCTTAGCCATTAGGGAAATGCAAATCAAAACAACTTTGAGATATCATCTTACTTCTGTCAGAATGGCTAAAATCAAAAACACCAATGACAGCTTATGCTGGAGAGGATGTGGAGAAAAGGGAACACTCCTTCATTGCTGGTGGGAATGCAAATTTGTACAGCCACTTTGGAAATCAATATGGAGAGTCCTCAGGAAAATGGGATTCAGTTTCCCAAAAGACCCAGCAATTCCACTCTTAGGCATATACACAAAAGATGCCCATTCATACAACAAGGACATCTGTTCCACTATGTTCATAGCAGCATTATTTGTAATAGTCAGATCCTGGAAGCAATCTAGATGCACCTCAACTGAAAAGTGGATAGAGAAAATGTGGTACATTTATACAATGCAGTACTACTCAGCGGAAAAAACAACAGAATCTTGAAATTTGCAGGCACATGGATGGCACTAGAAGAAACCATCCTGAGTGAGGTAACTCAGTCACAAAAAGACAAACATGATATGCACTCACTCATATATGGATTTTAGCCATGGATCAGGGGAGTGCCATCCTACAATCCCATTGCCAGTGAATCTGGGAAACAGGGAGGTTCCCAAGAGTGATATGCAAGATACCCAGAGAAGGGTAATGAAGCAAGATCTCATGAGCAGATTGGGAGCATGGGGGGAAGGGAGAGGGAACTGGGAAAAATAGAGAGGAGGAGAAGAGGAGAGGAAGCTATGGGGGAGCAGTAAGGTTGAGTCAGGGGAAGAATGGAGGAGACCAGGATGAGAGATACTAGGCCCTTGTGTCTAGGCTGAGAGAGTTTCCTACCATATGGAATGGGTTCCCAAAGTTCATTCATACACCATGGTAAACACTGATCTATTACCCAAGGCCCCAGAGATTACCAAGGCCTCCTCACTGACACCACATTCAGTAGGGTCTGGATCAGTCTCATGCTGGCCTCTCAGCCATCAGTCTTAGGTCCAAGAGCTCCCCCTTGTCAGGTCTGTTGTCTCTGTAGGTTTCACCAGCACCAGTAGAGGGCTGGTAGAGGGGTAAAGAAAGAGGGGTGGGAGAGAGAAGCAAGCATGTTTCTAATTTAAATAAAAATATATTGAGAAAAAAGATATATCCATGTAACAATAAGTAGTGAAAACACAGGCCATGCATTTGAAGGAGAGCAGGTAGGGGTTTATGAGAGAGGTTTTAGATAGAGAAAAGGGAAGGGACACATGTAACAAAATTATAATATCCAAATATTAAAAATCTAATACTATTTTTCCTGCTTTTCTTGAGACAGTATCAGTATGCAGGCCATGGTGGACTTGTATTTAAGATCCCTGTGACCAAGCCTCTAAGTGTTAGGATTATAGGTGTGTTTCACTGCACTCAGCATCTATTCTCTTTCTCATATTTAGAAAAATCCTCAGAAACTAGGAATATAAAGGAAATTCTTGAACCTGATAATCTATACAAAACCTTCCCCAGTTAACTTATAACAAAAGACTGGCTCTCTCTAAGATAAATAACAAGACTAGGATATTCATTTTTAACACAACTATCAAGCCAGATGTGATGGGGTACACTAGTAGTCCCAGCTGCTCAAGAGGGAAGAGTGACAGGATAACTGAAGCCCAGGAAAACTAGACAAGCCTAGAAAATAATTCCATCTCAAAAAAGTAAAATAATAGCATTAGCAATTCCATTTAGCATTATATTGAAAGTTATCTATTTAGAAGAGAAAAAAGGAAGAATAGCATTCCGATTGGAATGGAGGAAAAATGTCTTATTCAGATTACCCAATTTCATATTTCGGTGGTCTTAAAGAAAATGGTCCCCAAAGGCAGTGGCATATTAGGAAGTGTACCCTTGTTGGAGGAGGTGTGGTCTGTTGGGGGAGGTCCTTTTGTATGCTGTGAATACATGTTTATCTTATTGGTTGATGAGTAAAGCTGTTTTGGCCAATGGACAGGCAGCATGTATCCAGGCAGAAAGTATAGGTAGGGCTACCAGACTAGGAGGAGGGAGGGAAGAGAAACACGAGAGGATGGCATGTAGCTACTGGGAAGATAGGACACCACGAATTCTCCAGTAACCCAAGACTATGTGGAGGTACATAGATTAATAGAAATGGATTAAGAAAGAGCTAGCCAATAAGAAGCCTAAGCCATTGACCAAATAGTTTATAATTAATATAAGCCTCTGTATATTTATTTAGAACTAAATGGCTGCATTACCAGGTGGAACAGGAACTTCCATCTATAGTGGTTTTGTCAGAGGAATTGTGTCACTGTAGAGGTGGGCTTTGAGGTCTCATATATGCTCAAATCCACCCAGTGTTTTAGATCACTTTCTGTTGCCTTCTGATCAAGATGTGGCAAGCATCATGTCTGCCTGAAGGCTACAATGTCCTGACATGATGATAATGGACTGAACCTCTGAAAATGTAAGCCAACCCCAATTAAATGTTTTTCCTTTATTAGAGTTGCTGTGGTCATGGTGTCTCTTTACAGCAATAGAAACTCTAAGACACATATACAAATGATCTTCTAGAACCAATATAAACTAAGCAAGGCTAAAGGAGACAAGATTGGCATTTACAAAAATGAATTGTATTTTAATATGCTAGCATGAAATAATAAAAAGAGACAAAAATTTATTTATTATAATTTCAAAAGGATCAAAATACTTAGAAGTAAAAATGTTATCAAAAGAAGTTTTAAGATTTTATATCAAAAGCTATCTAACATCTTTTCAAAAGAAACCAGAGACTTACTAAATAAAGAAGGAAACACCTTGTTTATAGTTTGAAAGATTTAATATTGTTAATATGTAACACTCCCCAAGTTTATCTGCAGATTCCATGTACTAGTCATTAAAATCTTAGCTTTTTTCTGAAATGACAGTATATTTTCAACCCATAGCCTAAGTCCCTTAATAATCCCACAAAAGAGAACTTTCTACTGACCTAAATAGCTGTGTGCTTACTCCTTTAATGAATAATATTCCATAATATTTCAGTTAATATCTATTTGTTTCTAGTAGCAGCCAACTACCTAATTAACACAGTACACTCCTAAAGGATTTTTACCAAGGACTCCTCCGTTGCCTATAAAATAAAATGTAAACTCCTAACCAACTCCAAACTACCCAGGATTTTTTCCTAATAAATTACTGCTTTATTCATCCCCACTGTATTAAACAACATGATCTTACACAGATTCTTTACTTGCCTCTATTTGTTTTGTGCTGCACCAACCTTTTCACTTAGAATGTTTTTAATTCCATTTCTATGTGTTCAAAATTCACAAACCGCCATGACCTACGAGTGCTACCTCTTCCATGAAGCCTTCTCTGATCCTCCCAGATAAAAATAAGACAGTGGTGGAGAAACCCGCAGAAACAGTTGACCTGACCTAGTGAGAGCACGGAGACCCTAGTTGTAAAGCTGGGGAAACAGCATTGGGCCGAACCAAGCTCTCTGAATGTGGGTACCAGTTGGGAGGCCTGGGCAGTCTATGGGACCTCTAACAGTGGAACCAGTATTTATCCCTAGTGTACCAATGGGCTTTGGGAGCTCATTCCCCATGGGAGGAGGGGTGCTCTTCAGAGGACCTGTTTTTAGCTCTTAGTGTTCACGTTGGGCAGCATCCAGCTGTGTGTGACTCCAGTTCTAGGAGATCCAATCCCCTCTTCTGGCTTCCAAGTGCACCTACACACATGTGGCAAATACCCACCCAGAGATACACATATATACATAAATAAAAATGAATCTTAGAAAAAGAAAAAAGTTAAATATCAATATTTTAAAATGTTCCCACTATCATCCTACTTACTTTAATAATGTCCACTATCACTCTCAGCTTTACCTCTGCTCTCATTATCATATGTCCCAAAATTCTAGAGTTGAATTTGATGATATCATTTGAAATATGCACATAATATTTGAGATCACGGTGAAGTTATACCTGGCAGTATCCTATTTTGGGATTCCTATAGGCATAAGCTGTCAGGACCCGCCTCAGAGCAGATATGCCAGTGTCACTCTGAAATGCTGGGTGCTCAGGCAGAGAGCGACGTAAGTCACGTTCAATTTCTTCTGTAGCCAAGTTGCAGGTCCCTAAGGATTTTTCAACCACTTCAGCATAATAGCCAGGATTAGTAGCCATGTCATTAACAGCACCTGCAAGGACAATTGCATTCACATACAAAATGAATAATATAATAAAGCTAAGATTTGCATATAGTGGCGTATTTGCATTTTATTACCTTGAGGTTTAGCTTTATGCTCAAATGATATCTGAACACACAAAAAAGAATGAAAATGAAGCAAATGGGAAGCATTACACAGGTCTACAACATCAAATTATTATTTATCTGAAAAACATTCAATAAGTTTTTACTTATAATTTTCCCTTGATACTACAAATATGAATCCTATAACACTATACATATCTTGCCTACTAAATTAATCTCGGCAGACAGTAGATACGTAGGTATTTAGGTAAGCACATATAAATACAGTTTTTTTCCCCTTTTGACTAGTCTGAACTCATGTCCTAGCCATCTTTGTGCTCAGAGCATAACTCCTAGAAGAGGCATCCTTAATGTCTATTGAATGAATGAATCAAAGAAATGTACTACCTGAGAAAAGCATCCAGAGCTCTCCTCTCAAAGTCTCTGGAATCCCTCTTACAACTAGATCTCGGGTCTTTTTTGTCCGGAACATGCTAACACCACGCCCACATTCAGAAAATAAGATGTTCCAAGATTGTTCTTTCATCTTTTCTTTCAGCTGTAATGGAAAAATCAAGGCAAATAAGTAATGAAAAATAAATTCTTTAAAATAACTTGCTCATTTTGTTTACCATGAAATAATGTATGTACAGTTAAAAATATTAAAAATCATATGCACATAGTAAAGCACTAGAGCCTTAACATAAAAAGACTTAAACCCATGCAAACCTAATGGTTTTAATTTACTATCATGACTAGTTAAACTAGCTAAACTCCTAAGCATTGCAAAAGCCTAACACCTAGGTGCTTAAAGCTTCAAACCATCATCTTGGGACTGAGCCAATAGCCAACATTCCTCTTTTATCTTCACTATTGATAATAGTCTGAGTGTTGTGGAAACAAACCTAGGCATACTTCAAACCTCAAATGTAAAGCTTTTCGTTCAGATATCATCCAATACAGCTCTCAATCTGTGGGTTGCAAGACTTCTGGGAGTCGAATGCCCCTTTCACTGGGGTCATCTAAGACCTCCAGAAAACATAGATATTTACGATTCATAACAGTAGCAAAATTACAGTTATGAAGTAGCAACAAAAATAATTTTATGGCTGGTGGTCACCATAACACGAGGAACTATATTAATGGGCTGTGGCATCAGGAAGGTTGAGAACCACTGATCTAGTATGTTCTAAAGAATTTTTTCATTGACTGCTTCAATCCATTGATCGAATTATTTTTTCCTTACCATTTTAGAATCAAGATTCTCCAAATTTTGAGGGTGAAATACTGTCATTAAAGCTTCAGTGTTCACAGTTTTGCTGCATTCTTTTTGACATGTCAAAGGTTGATCCTCAAAATTATCACATTGGCCTGTAGCATCAGAACCAATAGCAACCTGAAAAAGAAAGTGCTTGTCCTCAATATATGTTCACAAGTTCATTAAGAAAAATGTGTTGCCAGGCTGTGGTGGCACACATCTTTAATCTCAGCATGAGGCAGGCATGTTCTACAAAGCAAGTTCCAGGTTAGCCAGGACTGTTATACAGAGAAACCCTGTCTTGAAAAACAAAACAAACAAGCAACCCCCCCAAAAAAACAAAAAAGAGAAAAATCTGTCAATGCTCTGTCTGTTATTCATAAGCCACAATCTATGGATATATTAAATATTCAAGAAATGTCCCAGAAGCATTGTTTTCTTTTCAAAATTAAGACCATGAACAAAGAGATCTTGGAAACAAAAAACTCAGAATCTCAGTGAGCCCATTCCTCAACAAAAGCAACAAAATACTGTCAAACACTTAAACCGTTTCAGAACCCTACAAGTTAACCAGAGGCAACAACGACTTTAAAGAATTCATTCAAAGAAAAATAATGTGGTCTGAAGATATACCTCAGTGGAAGAGTGACTGCCTGGCAAGCATAAGAGCCCAGGTTCTATCCCCAGCACATACAGAAAAGGAGGGGAAGAAGGAAAAAGCATCAAATCCCCTCATGAACCTTAGTAAGAACACCAGACCCTGAGCGGCTTTAACTCAGGCTGTTCCTGCCCTAAGTCAGAAGTGGAGTAGCCATGAGAAGCCAGCAGTAAGGTAGCCTGTGGGTCTTCTGGAGTTTCCCCTAAGCGCCACAGTGTCCTCAGCACAGTTAATATTTGATTTACCAGGCAGCTCCTGGCAAATCTCCACTTCTAAAGTGTGATTTGATTTGATTCACAGCTCAGCTCTGAAAAAGAGCCTGTTTCCAGGACATTAAAGCCCCCCCGAACTGCTTCTGACACCACAGCCGTTTACTTTGTGATTTCATTTGGGGCAAAAAGGGTGCCTAGGAATCTGAAAGGAAGATATGAATAGCCAGATAAGCATATGGAACTTTGAAAGGTTAGACATCTTCTTGGTTATCTGGAAGAATGCACACTGCCCTCTGAACTGCTCAAGGAAATCAATGTGACACAGAGGGGTCTCTGTCTTTCAAAGTGGGGATTGAAAATAAGGGCGATTTATAACCTTCTGAAGTTTGAGTAACATTTTCACACAAAATATTGCCTCACATAAAAGATGGAAGACTTAAAAGTTCAAGTCACCGAAGGAAACCAAACCTGTAATGGAATGATTACTAAATTCTGCTAACTCAGAAGCTGTTCTTGGGAAGGCAGGCTTAAAAATAAAATCAAAACTTAAAAAAAAAGCAGCTCATCCTCTGTCACTATGGTAAGAGATGGAACCTATCTCGTGGTGTAAGCCATCCAGCTGGAATTAACTGCAAAGATGATTCTAAGTGGGCTGCAAAACCAAATAATCAGGCACTGTTGACCATTTTATGATTCTCCAGTAATTCTGAACTCAAGGCAAATTTTTTGAAACATTACCTGGAGCCAACTTGAAAATAAATTTATAAATATGAAAAACAGCCAACAGAAAATTTCCCTGAGAGTGACTAATTGTTGGATTTCACATACAAAGTTTATAAAGCAGATACTATCAACATATCCAAAGAGTTGAAAAAAACTACTCTTAATAAAAGACCCAGATACTTCTTTACAGGTCCAGATGAAAAATTAACAAGTTTTATGCAAAGGTCAGAGTGCAAATATTTTAAGTTTCATGGACCATAAACTCCCTAATCAATTTTCCCATTGTGGTATTAATGTACTCATTGACAAAACATAATTGAATGGTGTGGCTATGTCTCAACATTTTATTTACCAGAACAGGTTATAGGTTGGTAGTCTCCATACTAGAAGGTGGTATAGTCATTGGGAACCTGGGACCCCATATGAACTTTATGGAGTGAAGCTTATTAATATTACCTTAGTCAACTTTCATTTAGCTGTGACCTAAGAAATAAATGCTTATAATTCTAAGACCAAATAATTTTATAGTGTTATGATTTGGGCATAGTTTTTATTTATTATAACATACTCTAACTATTAAGGAAGGGTTATGCGAGGGTCTTTAAAAAAACACTCCATCGGGCTGGGGAGATCATTACCGGTGTGTAAAAGTTCTTGCTGTAGCCTGAACTGCCATATACTATGATCAGATTGATTACCCTAGTTGTTCCAGGAGTGCTTTCATCTGGTGGCTGGTGAAGGCACATTCAGAGACCAAAGGTCAAACATTGGGCAGAGTTCAGGAAGTCCTGCTGAGGAGAGGGAGGAGAGACCTTAGGAAACAGAGAGGGGTCAGGAATACACACAGAAACCACTAGCCTGGCTCATGAGAACACACAGAGTCTGAACCAAGAAGAAGGGAGCGCCTGCACAGGACCAACCTAGGCCCTCTGAATATATGTAACAGTTGTGTAGCTTGGTCTATATGTGGGACTCCTTGGCAATGGGAGCAGGAGCTGTTTCTGGTGCTTTGGCTGGTCCTTGAGATCCTATTTCTCAGCTTGAATACAAAAGGAGGTGCTTAGTCCTATGGCAGCATGACATGTTATGCTTTGCTGAAGCCCATGGGAGGCAGTCCCCTTTCTGAGCAATTTCAAAGGAGGAGTATATGGGGGGGGAAGCAGAAGGGAGGAGCGTGGAGGGAGTGAGAGGAGAGAAGGGGATGTAAACTAAATACATTTATATAAAAAAGCTCTTGCTGTACAAGCAAGAAAACCTGACTTCAGATCTCTAGAGCCTATGCAAAGTTGTACAAAGTAATATGTATGTGTAATCTCATCATTTCTAGGCAAGATTACAGGCAGACACAGGTGAATTCCCAAAGCTTGCAAATCAGCTACAGTGAATAAGAGTGACTCTGCTTCAAAAAGGTCAGAGGTGAGAACTGACACCATAATTCTCCTGTGGCCTCAACATGGGTACTGTGGTTTTGCACATGTATTTGTTCTGCACACATGCATGCAGGGTTGCACACAGAGGCCTTACAGAGATGATAGCATTAATTTTATGCCTTGAGAGGTAAGTCACTGTACTGGTAGGCAAGGTGAAGAGTATTCTAACGAAAGACAACCTATGTGAACCAAATAACAGAAGACTGGAATGTAGTATTTTTGCACTGGAAAACAGATGTAAAAATGGCTACCAGGAAATTGAAAGTAGGAAGAGAACAAAGCAAAGGGAAGAGGAATAGAATTGCACTGTATTCTTTGTGGCCCAGCTTTCTGCTAACATACCTTGCAATTCCCTCCATTTCTATACACTGACTCAAGTGGAACCCTTGACATCTATTCTCTCCCTGTCTAAATTCCACCCTTCTTTTGGGATTTTATGAAATGTATATTTGCTCCACTATACAAAGAGGTAACAGGCCCTTTTGGAAAGAGTATAAGTTTGTTTGTTTAATATTTTGCATGTGGGGAATAAACCCAGGATTTCATGCTTGCAGGACAAACACTATACCACAAGCCACATCACCAGCTCTCAGGGACAAGCTTTGAGGTCCACATAGGCACGGGTTCAGAACTGGATCTCTCTATAAGGGAAGCTAAGGAACAAACTATTAAATGCAAATGAGCTACAATTTTCTGTCTTTAGAAATGTATTGGTGTCCTTACATGGCAAGACATTTCTGAAAGCAAGAGCTGGATTCTAGGCAAAGATAAAAGCCAGGTCCACTATTAGCAAAATAGTAAAACTCAAAAGCACAGCTAAGGAACCCTTTGGTAAGATATCATAAAGATGAAATTGGTGCTTCCTAGACCCTTTACATAATATGTTAACAACTCCTTCTGTTAGACATTAGAAAAGGCTAGCCTGTCTCGGAGGCTAAGGAAAAGAGTCAGACGATGGCACTCGTTTAATGGAAAGCAGGAAGTATTTACAAGGATTCATAAGAGGCCAATTAATTTTTAAAGGAACTATTTGTAGCTTGAACTGAAGGAAATGAGTGGACATCAGAGGAAAATAACATAAATGATCCAATAAATAGTAGGCAAAAGATATAAAAAGATAAACAGCAAATAAACATACAAAAATATTCACCATCATACAGTAATAGGAAATGCATTTTAACAAACAAACAACACCTACTAAAATCAAAACACTGACAATATTAAGTCACTGTGAGGATGTAGAACATGAACCATTGCTCATTTCTGTTTTTTTAAATATATAGCTACTTTGCAAGATGACTTGGCAGTTCTTACAAAAGTAATACAGTTTTAACACACAGTTTAGTGATGACAAAAAGAGAAGAGGGAGGAGCGAAAAAAGGAGAAGGAGAGGAGGATGCAGGCGCCAGTCACCCAGCTACATAGCCAGGTGTGGACTAAGAAGGAAAGAGAAGATATACAGAAATAGAGAAAGGTAGAAGCCTAGAAGCAAAAGGAAGATGGGATAATCTAAGTTAAGAAAAGCTGGCTAGAAACAAGCCAAGCTATGTAAGACTAAGTAAGAACAAGTCTCTGTGTGATTATTTGGTAGCTGGGTGGTGCTCCCCCCACACACAAAGAGTAAAGAGTAAAAAAAGAAAATCGAAAAACACATTACATTTATATATGCCTATCGTAATGTTTCGATCACAGTGGTGTTTACTATAGCTGTTTAGTACATTTTAAAATCAGGGAGCTCTAGTTTTCTACTACAGTTTTTATTTGCTTGCTTTGCTTGTGTTTTTGAGACAGTCTTACACCTCTAGCTGTCCTGGGACTCAGGATCCTCCAGCCCCAGCCTCTTGGGTGCTAGGATTATAAGCATGCACCATCTTGCCCAGATTTCAGTTAGTTGTATTTCTGTGTAGTTTTTATAACCTCTGTTTTTAATTTTAATACATTTCATTAACCAGCTTCTAAAAACTAACAATGCCAAAGATCCTAAATGATTTAAAAGAAAACTCATTTGACCTCCCAAATTTTACCAGTTTAAGAAAGATAAAAATGATGTCCATGGTTCAGGTAGATGGAAAGTAGCATCTTATATTTTATAAATATAGACAGAATAAATGATGT